TCCGGACTTAGGTCACTCCTTTTGCCTCCCTTGAGCCCCTGATGAATCCCAAATGCTTCCAAAAGCTCCATGTGATGCTCCAATACCTAAAAGGGACTCATGTATGCAAAATGCAACCTAAACATGGCTAAAACCTATTCTACATGATGAAAAGGAATGCAAATGAAGAGATAAAACAATGTAATAATGCAAGACATCACCTAACATATAGTCTATGTGATTTCCATCACATCAACACAACTTAGCAACTATATTTAACTGTTTATCAAATCAGCATCAATCATCAGAGCATCAACAACGGTAACTAGTCGGGATAAGTTTTCTCAAACAAATTTAAAATATAGATATTTATTTTTAATTATTTTTTGACTTTTTATAACTGCTGGACCAATAAATAATGGACAACTATCAGGATTCTTTGAATTTTGTTCTGGTTCTCTGGGAATATATTAGATCTTTTTTCTCTCATATAGTTTTTATTTATTTATCATTTACTTTTATTTTGAAAAACTATTTGAGGACCCAAATGGTTATTTCATCAACTAAATCCAGACAACATTAACAAGAGATTACCTTCTTAAAAGATTGAATGCATAAGAAAAATAACAACTAAGTTCTCAAATTTGTCTTACACACAATTTGGATTCTCACATTCAATATAATATAAGATGAAGAAGAAGATTAGGGTCATATATATCACATCTCGTTGAGGGGGTGAAGAAGTAGATCAAAGGCTTACTAGATAAATCTGAAGAACAATGACAAAAGAGGCAGGAGAGATCGAAGGTAGCATCTGTGGAGGCTGGCTGGCGGTGGCAAATCAGAGACACCCACAGTTGTGGCGGGTTTGCGGAGGTAAGCCAGCTTAGATCTAGGATTTAGGTTGCTTGGCAGTTATTGGCTCAGTATCTTTGCAAAGAATCATTAGGTTTCTTTCTGATGTTTGAGAAGAAACAACATACTAGCATATTTATTATAAAAAAAATTAAAGAGTCAAGATTAAAATTTAATGGACCATAGACTATGGATTTTCTCTTTTGGGATAAAAGGAATTGAATTAATGGGGGTACAATTAAAATGTTACATATATGATAATAATAGTGATTACTATTAAGTTAAAATAATCTTAAAATATTAAACTAGCTATAGTGAGAGTGTTGAATCATTATTATAAGTGTTGAATAATAACATTTGTTGATATGAATGATCTGGTGTTGAAAATATTCAATATGTTGAATAAAAAGAAATTGGAAACTAAAGTTCAAAAAAAAAAAAAAGAAATTGGAAACTACTAATGTCATGTATCATCCCTCTAAATTTCTTTGAAATTTTCCGACGTTCTTATTTATCTAAAATCAGTTATTTTTTTGTGAATTAAATCATTTACTTATATTTTTATATCAAAATTTATTATTTCCTATTTTCATGTTCATGTAATTTGAACATAGAAAATATATTACTTAATAAAATAGATTGTTGTTTTTTTAACTAAAACCATTATATAAAAGTTAAATATGCATTGGTTCATTAGATAGAAAATAAAATAAAATAATTTAAAATGTTAAATGATGAAAAGTAGAATGTTAAAATTTTAAACCAGTTGTAGAAAACTTGCACCAGACCATATCCTAAGGAGCAGATGCACTATACGCTATGATACAGAACATGCAGATGTGACACACATTATGTGAACATCCCAAACGGTCGATCCACAGGCGCAAATAGGGTTATGCCACCCAACTAAATTTTAATTTTCTTTTTCAAACAAGATTTTAATTGAGTAGAAGCAAGAACAATTAGTTAGATATCTTAAGATGATTTCAGGACAAGTAATATTTGACTTACAATTTTTCTTCTAAAAGTAATAATCTCTTTTGCTACACAAAATTACAATATTAGATTTCTAATATAATTTATAATTATTTTAGCTTAATATTATTACAAATCCATTGATCTTGTAAATAATTTTAGGATCTCAAATATAATTTATTATATATATAATTAATAAGTATATACTACATACTTTTAAGAAAAATAAAATTGTGTGAATATTGTTAAAGAGAAATTTTATTCTGCAAGACAGAAAAAGAAAGGAAAATAGATGAAACTTTAGTACTTTGGTAAAGACTAATTCGTCATCTATCTCTAAAAGTAAAAGTAAAAGCAAGTGAAAAGGCATCGAGTAGTTTAAACTTAAGAGTAGAGTTCACTCTTAAATCTCGAGTTTTACATAATTACACCATTAATCATTCACACACCCTTTCATCTCTCTCTCTCTCTATAGATTACTGAACAACTTTTCAACTTTTTAATGCTTTCTACTGAAGTCCTCTCTCTCAGATCCTTCTTAGCTCTTCTTCTCTAACCTTCTTTCAGTTAACTGAATCTTGATTTCATTTCTTCTTAGTCCTCTCCATTTTATGATTCACTAGTGGAGGGTTTAGGGCTTTTACCATCTTCTTGAATTCTGGTAAAGGAACAAACTTTTTTTTAGGGACATGATTCAGTTACTGTTTCTGGTTCTGTTCGTGGAGGGTGCGATTGCATTCTTGCTGCTGATTAAGATTGGCCCATTGAGGGAGCTTGTGATTAAAAGCCTTGACCAGATGAAGATGGGGAAAGGTCCTGCCACTGTGAAAACCATAGCTGGAACCATGTCTGTGATCCTCTTGTCTAATCTCATGAGCATTGTTAAGATCCAGAACAAAGGTGCAAAGCTTGGGACAATGTCTCCCATGGATCAGGTTCTTTGGAGAACCCACTTGCTTGAAGCTTCTCTAATGGGTCAGTTTTTTTTTTCTATTCTTTCTTTCTTGATTGGCTTTTATAAATGCAACTGTGGGTTAAGCAGAACAATTAGGGCTTTGCTAATGTAGAAAGAGAGTGAATAGTTGAGTTGATTGTTGCCTTGGTTTGTCCGTCACCAGGTGAGTTTTTTTTTTAGCTTGTGGATTTTAGTTTAGCTATTTTAGACACGGTCTCTGAACAAAAGGTGAAATCTTGGATTGACCTTTTGTTGGTAATCTATGATCTTCTCCTTGGTCCATGGTTTTCTAGGTTTCTAGTTAGAATGATGATCTGAATAACAAAAACTAGTTGGCTTGAATCGAGTGAGTAAGGAAATAAAATGTTATTTTTTCTGGTTTCGTGTGACATTTGTAAGAAGTTGATGTGATGAGTAAGAGTTTGTATCTCAAATGAGGGGCTGTTGGTATAGAGAGCAATGTAAATGTGTTATCATATGACGTATCTGAAGCTCTATACTGCTAAAGTTCATGAGATTTGCAAAGTTGTCTTGATACGTAATAGGTTCAGAACCTGTTTCCACATAAACTGTAATGAAGTTCATCGGTTTGCTGATCTTGATTTATCCATAATGGTGAAGTTTTGAAGCAATATCCTAACTCTTGGTGCTCTCTTGTTCTGAAAAGTGTTAGAGCTTTGCTAAGTGTTTACAATGAAATTAAGTTTAAAGCTCAACAAAACGTTAATGATCTTTGCAGGAGTCGTACTTTTTCTCGGTTTCATAATTGACAGGATGCACCACTACCTCAGAAAGCTAATCAATCTAAGAGGCAACGTTGGTTCATCTAAGGAAGAACTTGAAGAGCTCCAGAAAGAGAGAACCGAACTAAAGGAGAAAGAGGACAAAGCGTCCAAAGAAATCAAGCAGCTGCAAGAAAAGCTGTCATCTATGACAGAGAGACTTAAGAAAGCAGAGACCGAGTCTAAAGAGAAAGAGAAGAAGCTGGAAACCGCTGAAACACATGTCACGGCTCTCCAGAAACAATCTGCAGAGCTGCTTCTGGAGTATGATAGATTGCTAGAAGACAATCAAAAGCTACAAAGCCAAATTTTGGGACAAACAAAAGGCTGATGTTTAGATTGTCATTTAACAAGTGCTTAGTTTTTTTCTTTTCTGGAAAGTGAACAATGGTGAATTGGTGACTGAGAAGAGAGATTTTCGTTAATGGAGGATTCCTTGCATCCTCTTTGTTTTCAGTATAAGAATGTTGGGTGGCTTCTGAAACCTGTACTTGGTATCTCTAGGAACTCTTTGCAATGTGTCAGACAGTTTTATCAAAACCCTGTTTGAGTATGACAAACGAAGATCATGGTTAATATTTTAAAACTGAAGTAATTGAAACCTGTGACAAAGATGGCATTTACTTTTGTTAAAACAAAAAAAGAAAAAACTGAGATAGATGCGCCGTCTGTGGGGATCGAACCCACGGCCACGGGATTAAAAGTCACGCGCTCTACCACTGAGCTAAGACGGCTTGCTGATTTTATATTGCCTTACCAAAATAATATCTTCAGATTGCTCAAACTCCAGTAAATGGAGCAATCTCGAAAGCGGAAAGGCGACTTATTCAACCAAACCTGTCGGGAAGCCATCAGCTCACCAGCTTCAGCACTTCCCATGATGATTCAGTTACCAACTTACCAAAGAGAACAAGTTTGTTTCTAACCTTTCTTATGCTCTTTGTTTCTACAGGATTCATCACGAGAAACAAAGATCCAAAGCTCAAAAAAACATTTTTTCTGTTCTCATTTCAACATTTCCTTCTTCAGTCTTTAAATATCAGTGCTTTTTCTCAGAGTTACAACTGTTTTAATCTCAAAATTCTACCTACTTTCGTCTTTTGAGATACAGATGAGAAAGAAAAGGGGCAACAAAAAAAAGGAGAAGTTCGGGATCTTTCTGACAATCATTCACCTAAGACCTTGAAGCAAGACGCAAATCTTATCCACGTTTAGATCCCAAAGCGAGAAGTATCTTCTTCCTGGGGCCCTGTAAATGGATGTCAAATAGAGACCTTTAGTTACTATAAGCATGATGATGGATGTGGTCATCATATTATGAATTGATTGAACTAGAGATAACGAATACAAGCTAAAATCAATGCATGGTGAAAATAAGTATAAGGCAGCTTATAATGGACTTTTACCATTGGTATGAGCATAGCTTTGAGGTCATCATCTGTCATATGCATAAGAGCATCCATATCAACCTGGAAAAGACAGAAAACAGTAAGAAGAGAACACGCAGGAGTTGATCTAACAGTAAATACATTTGTACATACTTCTTCCACTTGAAATGAGGTTGAATATTTCTCGAGACCCAATGATTCCAGGAAGCCATCAACCGACATATCGGCCTGAACCAAAAGACAACAAAATTGAGAACTAGTCAGTCTGAATGCTATACGGCAGAAAATATTGATAAAAGAACTATAGTTGGAAAAAAAATGAGAATCATATTACCTGCGGTGGTTTCTTCTTGGTAGCTTTGTTAGAAGCTGCCCTAGTCTCAGACCTGGTTTCACCAGAAAGGTTCTTGACGGCTGGTCTAGTAGCCACCCTAGTAGATTTTTGAAGGTTAGTGTTCCTTGGTAGTGCATTCTTTGTCCCAGATAGCTTCTCACGCAGATCCAAACTAGCTCCACCTAGTCGACTTTGCAAGCCATGATGCTTCTTCTGGAGCTTCAAGCGGAGATCTCTAGGGTCAACCTTGCGATCTTGGTTAATCAAATAACACAAAGTCAAAAAAACAAAAGAAAGATACTTTGTAAATCTTAAGCAAGGGAAGCAAAAGCCAGACAGATAAAAAAAAAAAAAATACTTGAAATACGAGGCTTGGTGTCATCCTCGAAAAGATCATGCTCCCACTTATCGTCATCCTGCCTTCCTCTAAAAACATTTAAATTAATTAATCAAAAAATTTCTCCAACCTTATGCTAGTAAAAAGGTAAAGAACACAAAGGATGAAGGTAATATATGCCACACAAGGAGAGAAAGATATAGGCTATAGCAGTTGTATATCAAAACATCACATAGGCAAAAAAAAATAATAATAGAGAGAGCTAAACATCTCCTTAATGAAACTAACCATCCATGTAAAAATTCGAAATTAACAAGACTACACTGTTAAAAACTGTTAATAAAAAAAGAAGTAGCAAAGCTTCGTAACAAATCAGAGAATCAGCTAGTCTTCCTATACGAAACACAGAGGATGAGATTCAGATCAAGAAATTCATATAGCTTTGACAAATGAAGTGTAAACCTAAACACCAAAAATCGAAGGATCCTTGGGGCAAAGCAAGTTGAAATTACGAAAGAACCTCTTCCTCGTGGTGACTTGTCTCCCGCGAGAAGATAAGTCGCCGGAACCGCCATTGAGACGACTCTTAACCGTCTTCCTTCTTACAGTCTCACCTTCCACTCGATCAGAATACATATTTAATTTGCTTACACCCTAAAACCAAAAAACAAAAAAAAACAGTGAGTAAGAGCAAAACTTAAGCTTTATTAAACAGTCTCCAAGTTACATATACCTCTCTGAGAGGAAACTGCAAACCCTAATTTCTATCGAATAATCACTGAAAGAGATGACAACCTCCCTCCAACGAAAACGATCTTTCCGATTTCGACTCGACAGTTAAGAAGCGGCAGCTCCACGATAGTATCGTCGGTACTATTAAATTTAACCGGGTTCAATCGGGTCGGATAGGTCAGCGATGTGATATTGTTATTGGGCCCTGGCCCTTTTATACATTTTTATTTAGACGAGTGTATTGGCTGGTTAAGATTACCACACCATCAATTTGGTATGTAAACGAACCGGGAACATTTTGGTTTATTAATTGCTTCATCTTAAAACCCATAGAGAATGATTTTAGTCAACTTCTATGAATTAATATACGATAAATTAGTAATTTCTATAAATTAATAAATTTTATTGATATTAGGATCGGTTCAAAATTTAACATAAATCGATAAAAAAATAAGATAATAATTTTCTAGAAAATTTTATATAAATATATGGTCTCATGAAATTATAAATTATAAATTAATAATTTACGTATAAATATTTTCTATAAGTAAGAATCTATGATTATATTGTTTATGTTATATTTACAAAGTAATTACTTTTATATTTTCTTAACACTTTATATATTTTTGATGAGATTTAGTAGTATTATATCTAAAACCATATTTTAATAATATGTAATACATCAAATAATATAATAATAATATATAAATGTTAAATTTTTTTAAAAAAAATTCTATACAATAAAATCAAATATTTTTCTTTTCTTCGAATATATATACTTTAAAATAAATAATCTAAATAATTTTTTTTTAAAATTAATATCTCTATAAATTAATAAAATTTTAAAATTTCAACATTATTAATTTATATAAGTTTACTGTTTTTACCATTAGTTACCAAGTGAACCACACATCGTCTTTAATCACATAAAATAATGCCAGAATCCAGTAATTTTTTTTTGTAGATCCAATTCAATTATAACCAACAACTTAATTAGTTGAATTAGTTGTAGTTGGTTTTATATTTGGATTGAGTTGATTTTATGGTTTGCTTTCAACCTGCGATGGATTTTTTTCCACACAAAAAAATATGATATTAACAATTTAACAATAATACATGTTAATTGATGTATGTTATCATGATAATTGTATTGTTTGTATAGTTATTGATAATAAGTGTTTCAAAAAAGGTATAGTTATTGATATTTTAGTGTTTTCTAGATGTATGGTGGTGAGAGATAATCATTTTTCATTATCTAAAACCATTTTCTATCCTTCAAATAATGTGGCTTTGTATAGCTTAATAGCAAACCAATAGTGTTTACGTGCGTTAATCAAACATTTTAGGAGATGGAAGAGATAATGATAGTTCAGTTATTTATCTGTTAACGGAAAATAACATTCCAAGAAGAAGACAAAGTTCATTAGTCACAACTCTTCACTCTTCAGCTGCTTCTCTGGAGAGAAGACCAAAGAAAGGATTAGTAACCGCAGATTGCAACTGAAACGCAGCGTCTCGAAGCCGCGATATGTCTCCCTCGTGGTCCGGCAGAGACAAAAACTCTGATCCTTCCTCTCTCTTGAATCCACAAAGCTCCATGAACTCCATACCTTCTTTGAACCTCCCAACTCTCTCCTGAAACAACCTGTTCGTGACACGTATCCTCCTGTATTTCTCTTCATCTGGATTCTTCGCTGCATTCCTCACAATCATCAGAAGCGTTTCAAACGCCCTCCTCATCGTTCTTGGATCTTCTTCCTGTAAACAAAAAGATTCCACTTTCTTTTTCTTGTTTTCAAGTTTATTCTCTTCAAAAAAAACAAAACGTTTTTTCTTACTTTGTGGTTTCTTCTTAGTGATCTTAAGCATTCTCTCATCTCCTCTGCTTTGGAGGCCGGACTTGGCGGCGGCATTAACAAACTCTGTAATTATTAGTGTTAGAAAAAACCTTATAGAAGCAGGACCGGACTTGAGATTTTGGAAACCATAGGCCATTTAATAAATGTTTTAATTAAAAAAAATGAACAAATTTAGGGGTCTATGTATATATAATTTTCTTTTAAAATTTTGGGAGCCAAATAAAAAGGTTTCATCCGAATTTGTCTCACTGACCCTGAAAGGAAGACGAAACTGTGTACCTTAGTGTCAAGTGGAGCAACTAGAGCTGAAGTTGAAGTAGTTGGCAATCCGAGCCTGCTCTTTCTCTCCGCCTAAACACACACATTAAATCCAAAAATGTCGATAGAGAAAATGAAGTTTCAATGTGAGTGTAACAAAAACAAAAGAGATGAAAGAAGATTTCACCTTGTCTGCATTTACTTTCTGCATGATCTTGTCCCTTGCTTTTTTCTCCTCATCTTTCTCAACCTTCCTCAAAGCTATATTCCTGTTTTTTTCAAATACTAAACATTGTTCTCATTTAATCCAAAAGGAAGAGAATGTGACCAATAAACACTCTCTTTTTGTCTCTCATACCGTTTCCTTTCGTTTTCTTCAGCGATTTTCTTTGTCTCCATCATCTCTTTCCCAGCTCGTATCCTTTCCTGCAAGAAAGGTATAACTATATAGTATCCTTCATGTTCACACTCTTATGTACTTACGTCATTTCCTTTGTACCTTCTCTCTTTCTCTTTCGCGTTTAGTTTCTTCTTCTCTTAACTTACGAGCTCGTTCCCTGAGAGGAATACATAAACAAGTCATGTCCCATGTGTAGGATGAAGCTTAAGAAAATACGCATATGTGACTAACTTTAGTTCATTAGCTCTAGCCTGAGCAGTTTCTGATGTATCATCATGTGGACTAGGAGACTCAATCTCAATGTTAAACTCCACCTGCAAAAGACTGTTCTCGATCAATGATTCTATGGAATCAGTGAAAAAAAGAGATGAAGATGATGACATACCACAGGCATTTTGTCAAACTGTGAATCGTTCTCATGGTCTACGATCCAATTCACAGCTGCTTCGAGGCTAGAGTTGCCTGGAGATAAAAGAGAAACAAAAAAAGGTTGGTCCATGACATGAATCTGGGATAAGTTTTATACATACCAGAATGATGCAGAGCCCAAGCTGCTCGGGTCATTGAGAATCCCATATCTTCAAGCTCCTTGAGCAACCCACGGTTAACTTCAAGTACAACACTTTCTGTTTAACCAAAAACCAATCAAGAATTACTTCTATTTATACACGTATGAACGAACATCAAAACAACAGAACTGTAATCTGGTTTGATGTTGACACAGCTACCTGTTTCTACCGGCATATTCTTGGATCTTTGTATTTGGTGTGAGAAGCCGATGCTAGAATGGTACAATGGTGTTTGATATAGGATGTTGCATATAATTAGATTCTTTAATTGTTTTTGTTACTTTCTTTTCCTCACAGTTTTCAGCTTTTTTATTCGATTCAAATCGTGTTACATAAGCAACTGAACTTATTCTTTTCTTATTACATGCATAACTCATACATTCCCCAACAAAGAATCAACACTCAAAATGTTATAGAAGATGGACCATAACCGCCTCCATCATGATGCAACATTGCGTCAATTTGATCTCCATCCTCGAGCTCCAGCTAACAGACAAACACAAGTGAAACAAAATCATTTCACGAACGACTTTATTTTATTACAGGGATCTCTCTATACATACCTCATCAGGTGTTTGAGACCCTCGAATTCTCGTTCCATCTTCCAAAATGAAAACAAACGTGCTCAACTTCACGCCTCTCGTTTCACTGTACCGTTTCATAACTTTACGCTTCTCAACGTTCCTTCTCATTTTAAACACTCTAACTGCCTCCTCGTCCTATACATCCACACATATATAGTCATTGTTTAAAGACCAATGATGTAAAAAGATTTTTCAGTTACCAACTCTTTACCTGACCCTTGATTCCCAGAGTAACATGAGTGGACGCCGCGGACTCAACTTTAACCTTTTTCTCTTCCTTATTCACACTAGTGCTTCCACTTTCCTTTGTCGACATTACTTTAATCGGACTGATCAGATCTCTCTGAGTTTCTCAAGTACTGAGTACAGATATTGGATGTGATGTATATATTTATACAGCAAACTAATGAATGAAGATGATAAGACCGAGACAAACCGCTCCATATGCGTTTAATGTTGGGGGCTCATTAGTCAAAAATTTATGAAAGAGTTTAGATTTTCTAAGTAAAAACATCATTATCTATACACCTAACCATATTTCAACTAATAAAAAAAAGTTAAAGAATATATTATTAATAAATTTTGCATTGAAATTCTAAAGCTACATGCAATATCCCTCTTCTTCCATGTGTTTCAAAATATGTAGATTTTAAATTTTAATACCAATACATTATTTTTTTTGTAATTAAATATTTCTCATAATTTTTAATCAATATAATTTTTAAAAATACAGTTATAATTTTAAAAATTTACTATTTATCATTTTCAATAAACATAATTTTGTTTTTAAGTTTACAGTTTACCATTAAGTAATCCATTGAAAATAAAATTATATATATAATTTTTTCTTTCTAAAATGTGTTTTTTTTAGAAAAGTGAAAAGAGTATAAAATTGGTTTTTAATACCCATTGGTAGAAAGACGACCCAAATCAACATCTTAAGAACATGATTAATAGGAAATTCTTAGTGTGGAACTTTTAGCGAAATATAAGAAACTGTTTCTTAACTTTTAACTAAAAACTTCATTCTAAGAACATCCGTTAATCATGCTAATCATGCTCTAAAAACCATTGACTAAGTATAACTTGCAAGTCATGAACAGTTAATCGTAGTCTTGCAGAGCACAATATCTCTAGTTGATGGCATCCATGCAACTCTTCCAACTATGGGGAATTAATGGTATTTTTATGAATTTTATAACAAACACAAACTATTAACGCGTAGTGCTCCAATGTAAACCCATGCAACATCCCTCTTCTTCTTTGTTTCAAAAGATGCAGTATGTTTTATATTTATGATTACCAATATATTATTTTTTATATTTAACAAATACTTATAAACATTAACCAATAGGATTTTAAATAACCCAATTACATATTTTTTCTGATTCACATTAAGTGAGATAATTTTTTCCGTTACAAAATAAGTGTCGTTTTCGGTTTTCAATATAATTTTTTTTAATTATGCATTTTATTTTTATACTGGTTAAAATATGGTTATAGATATAAGTAACTGTGTTTTTATACAGAAAATATTCAAAATTAATTATTTCTGTAATTTATGTATAAAAAGCTAAAGTGACACTTATAATGAAACATGGAGATTATGTTTTTTTTTTTGTTTCAAATTTACAGTTTACCACTTCTAATAAATACAATTATGTCTTCTGAAGTGTCTACCATTTTTAATAAACATGGTTATGTTGTATGAATTTTACAATTTACCATTAAATAATGTAATGAAAATGTAAAAATATATTTTTATGAAATAACTTCTTCTTCTAAAAATGAGGATTTTCTTTTTGAAAAATGGAAGGAGTACTCCGTTTCAGAATATTTGTCATTCTAGGCTTAAATTTTTGTCACAAATTAAATGTCGTTTTTGAGTTTCGAGGCAAAATTTATTAGTTTTATATAATATTTTATTTTTCTATTTGTTAAAAAGTGGTTAAGTGTATAGTTAATTGTGTTTTTATCTTGAAAATATGTAAAATTAAATATTTACTTAATCTGTATGCAAAAACAACTATAATTGACTAACTGTATAACTTGCAACAATTAATCCTTATTCTTGCAGGGTACATGGCATGTTATGCGACTCTTCCCAGTACAAACCTCTTGTCTATGGAAAGATAATGACATGCTGTAGAAGACAAAACCAATGAACCAGCTTTTGTCTTCCCTCTGATCTTGGCTGAGATTCCTGATAACAACTGCTTAAGCGCACCTGCCTTCTTCTTTCCTGCAGAAGAAAAGATAAGAAATCACTGAATCAGAATCAAAAGATGACTTGTTAGGATAAATTAGCCTCAAAGGGTCTTAAAGCTGGTCTTGTAAGAAATGGACAAATTACCTTTGATTTTCAGGGATTTTGCTTCTTCACCTACAAGTCTATGGAGGAGATAAATCAATTCTTTGAAATACAGAGGCTTGTGATCAAGATCACGTTGTAAGGCATGCTAGAATCAGGGGATTATGAAAGGCACAAGCGACACTTCTGTGTACAAAACGCACTTTAACGATTTTTCCTGCAACAAAACCAGACAATGTGAATTGTTTGTATTCGAAACAGGCAACTACAACTGCGGAAACATAAACCCTTTTGGCGTGTATCAAGTGTCTCTCTACCTTGAGTTTTTGATAACAAAAGCGAGTTACTGGACTCTTCTTGGAAATCTAATCTTGTATGATGATTTGGAATGCTGAGGGAATGCCAAGGGAATGCCAAGTTCTTGATTAGCATCCGAGGATATTCATCAAAATATGTAGGGACCCCTGTTGATAAATTTTCATAACATGGCAATGCATCTGAGATAACTAAGAAGGTAGAATGATAAAAACGCTCCGTAAATAGATGTCTTATGCATTATTACAGATGTCCCATCCAAAGTGTCAAGTTCTGAGTACAAACGGCTGCACGTGGCAGCGAACAACATCTCATCTCAGCATATAGAAGACGAAGATTCCAGAAAGTTTGATAGAAGCACAGAAAAGACCTGAAAGTGCATTGGTTAAGTTCATCAACCAAAGTATCAACCTGAGACAGAGGACCATCAAACTCAGCTCAAAACTCAAACCCAAACATGTTTTGCATTCAGAATTGACAAGGGGTCAAACTCGCCCAACTTTTCGTGGTTCCAACGACCCCCTGAGTAAAAGATAGTTCCATCTCTTTGACACCCGAAACTTCTGAACCTGTTCCAGAATTCGAGGTAAGAAAAAAAAAACAAAGATGGTCCTAAACATGTCCACTGGAAACAGGAAACATGTTACTTCCACTTAAAACAAAAAAAATAAAACTTTCTCCCCACCCACAGTCCTACTTTACAGCCTTAACTAGATTAATGGTTATAGTGTTTGTTTATTTTTCAACTGAGAAATACCTTTGAAGTTTGACACCATATGACCTCGACTCTCGAAATGGTCCTTGGCAACTCTTCAACAAACACGGAGATCGATAGTCTGGCCATAGATAGATGGATGAGTTGATATAATGACATCAATTACCTCCCACGCAGACTGATCCTGTGAGGCCTAAAAGCTGCATGTGTATAGCAGTATAAAAAGAATGATGCTTTGTTATTGAAAAATTCCATTTCTATGACCGAACAAATTTTCTGTTGGTTATTTTGTCGAACAACTTATGTGGGTCTGTAAAAACAAGAACTTTACAGTAAATAGCATGAGGTAAATGTTAGTTTTCGTGATGGCCGACGTCCAGCGATACCGACGGCGAAGGAGTTTTTTTTTTTTTCTTTTATGATTGTAATACACTGAACATTATAACCAACTAATTAGTTTTAAAATGTTTTTTTTTCTTCTTTTAAATGTTCCCTATGGCTATGATTTTCTACCGCTTTTTTTTGTTTTTGTTTTTCTTTTTTTGCTAAAACACTAATTTTATTAATTGTAGTTTTAATCTTTTTATCAACATATTAATACATTTGTCAACACAAAATCCATTGAGTACAATCTTGAATAAACTTAGTATGGCAAATAATCCAAGTCTGACGAGTTTTAATTTTGAGATAATTTTTTAAAAATACTTTGTTAATAGTTTACAATTTGTAAATTAAAAAAAAATTGTAAATATACACAATGGCATTAAAAATTTAGATTGTTTACTAAATAATATTGTAATTACTATAATTTATAGTTAACCAAACTTTATATATTTATTATTAAAATTTAGAATTTTTAGACCGTTTAATATCAATTGTAACGCTTTTAAAAGATTTAATGACTAACCGACAAAGAGTATCATTTTTATCATTTTAAAATTTTATGTTTATCCGTTATTTTTATATTCATTATTTCTAATGTTTTTACGATGGTTACCAATTAGATTTCGATTGTTTTATTAAATATATCTAAATATTTTCATTTCCTCTCTATTTCAATATTCATGTACCTAAAATTTTGGCAGTAGAATTAAAAACTGCAGTTGAGAGAGTGATTTTTTCGTCAATGCAATTGAGAGAGTTAAATACCAGTAAAGGAGTAAAGAAGAGTGATGGTAAGTAGGGCTGGGCAAAAAAAACCGAACCCGAAAATCCGAACCGAATCCGACCCGATAAAAAGGAATCCGAACCGATCCGAACCCGATATAAGTATCGAATGGATCTTGTTTTACGGTATTTCGGGTTATGGGTATTACCCGAACCGAACCCGAACTTAAATGGATATCCGAAAGAACTCGAAACTTTAAAATTCCAAAAAAAAACTCGTATCATATCCAATCTAAATTTCTAATATGTTTCCAAAACAATTTAATATATTATTGAGTACCTACAATAATTAGTTATGATATAAATAATTAACTCAAATATTTACTCTAATATATAGTGTTATTTGGTTAATATTAATGTTTATGATTGACATTACATTTGAAGTTAAGTTACGAATAAATTTGTTTTGAAGTTTATATAATGTTGTTTTTAAAAGTTTAAATAGCACTTCTTTTGTTTATAGAACTGTTAGTTGTTAACTTTAATTTTTTATGTTTCATTATGTATTATATTTCGTTCATACAAGGCTTTGGTTTGTCATTAATCATGATATGTTTAGTATTGTCACATATAGTTCATTGACAAATCTTATATGGTTGATAGATGAGTTTCACAATCTTATTTTCAAGGAGAACAATATGGTTTGTAGAAACTAAATACACAAATTTAATAAAATGATTGAAAATATAGTGAGTTTAATTGAATATAAATTAGTATTTTTAGAACCGATAACCCGATTAGTATCCGAAACCGAAACTATTTCGGATTCAACCGGATCTTGGACATGTTACTAAACCCGAACCGAACCCGACTAAACCCGAACCGAATCCGACCCGAATTTTTATAATATCCGAATGGGGCTGAAATTCATGAACCCGAAAACCCGAAACCCGAATGAACCTGAACCGAAACCCGATTGGGACCCCGATTGCCCAGCCCTAATGGTAAGTATAAAAAAAGCGAATATTGAAATATCCAAAGAAATAAAGAAAGAGAAGGAAAGTGATATATTGTCATAAATAAAATTCGAACAATTAAGGAGAAAATCGCGAGAAAAGAGGATGGAAACTAGAGAGCGTGCTTCGCAACTGGTCTTCTCTTTTCTCTTTTTTTCTTTTTTTTTTTCTACACAAAAGAAAAAGACCATCATCTCTCCTCTCTCTCTCACTCCTCATATAAATATTGACCAGTGTCCTCCTCTAGAGAGAGAGAGATAAACTCGCCGCTTTTACTCTTCTTTTTGTTTAGTCTCTGAAGGTAGCAGCAGTAAGCACCAAAGGTCAGTCAAAACACGCTCTCCGTAGTGCATGTACTTTGATTTTAACAGTCGTGTTGATTTTTTTTTTTTTACTTTTCATTTTTCAGGGGAACGGCTAGTTAGTTACTCGGTGTGTGAAGCGGAAGGAAGATCGATGGATTACGGAGAAGATCGGTAGATTCTCTTTACCTTTTTTTCCTGCTTTATTCATCTCGATTGTTTTTTTTGTTTGGGATTTGATTTGGTTTTAGTGTGTGTGTTGCTTTGCTTTATGATGATTGATTTGATTAGTTCTTCGATTATTTTGTGATCCTCGATAGTGAAAAAAATGGAATCACACTGTTGTGATCCGTTTAACAGAAATCACTTAGATTTGGTGGTGGTTTCTGGGTCAATGCTGTAAATGTGATTTAAGATTTGTTTGGTTTCTTATTGAACTTATTTGATTGGTCATTTAATGTGACATCAAATCCTCTATTTTTTCACTAAACTCAAGTTTTAGAAGTACCTTTTGGTTAAAATGGTCATTTGTGAATTGGTTCTTCAAAATTGTGAAACTGCACACATTTTGATGTTGTGGGATATGATGTTTGCTATGTGCTTACTCTATTTGCTTTGTTTGAGTTGTTGGTTAAGTATATGCTTGTTAATGATACATCTAGAGACGCCTTTTTTTTTTTATCATTTAGCAATTTATAAGACAATGCTTAGGAATCTTCAGTCTTCCCAAAGCTTTTAAGTACATTAGACTCTTAACTTGTAAATGTACTATGGGTTTGATCATGTTATTTTTTGCAGTAGTGCCTCATGGAACTGGCAAGTTCAGAACTATGATCACCAGCCACAGTCTAATTTCTGTAAGTGCTTACATTGTTTAACTCTGACAACACTTTGTGACAAGCATGACTAAGTTGTTCTTGAACTCCAGCTGACGTATCGATGACGGAAGTCACATTAAACCAAGAAGATCACTCATACATGTTTGATGATCATTCCACCCCTGTCAAGGCCTGTAGCGAGCTGGGTTATCATGTCACAACAGGTTTGTGTTTGTTTTTTTTTTCCAAGGTATCATTTTTGTTTCAGATGTCTGTTTCATGATGGTTTCTAAACTAATGCGTTGGGATTCAGATGAAACGACCAAGAAGCTGGAAGTGCAAAGTGAGACTCGCTCTGCTGTAAAGAGGCGTCGGATGTTACAATTCGATGACCAGCCTATGGAAACATGTCTTTTCAGCAGTGAGAGCTTCTCTTCAATCTTAAAATCAAGCGTGAGTACACAAAACCAATACTGCGTCTTTAGCTACGCACTCAGATGCATTGCCATATATTCTTGATAGGCTGCAGTCTATGGTACTGTTTGCTGGGATCAATTATTAAAAGGGATCCGTTTTGTTTTGTTAACTCTTCTCTTCTACTTGTATAACAAATTCAAGCTTCGTGGTATATGGCTTCCTAATTTAATTGTTATTACGGCAAGTTAAGTTACCTAAGCAACATCTGATAGCTTAGGAGGTTCTGATTGATGTTTCTTCTATGTATGTTCAGGCTAGAGAGGAAACATTTGATGAGCTTTTGCCTGAAGGATCTGAGCTTATAGAAGGTTTTTCAGGTTGAGCTCTCATAAATTATAACAACACAAACCTCGCCAATGCGTTTTTCCATTCAAACAAAACATTGTCTCCTTTTCCAGCGGACGCTTCTGCTTCAAGCTTGGACTTGGAGGGCCTTGATCTGTATGCTGAAGAGTGGTACGCTGATTGCCTAAATGATGCTGAAACTCCTATCCTACCTGATGACTTGTATGTTTCGATCATTCATCATTGCTTGTTTTCGGTTAGTATCCTATTTGTTTAATTAACTTATTACTTTTGTTGTTTTCTCGCAGAAGCTTTGGTTCCCCTGATGTCCAAGTAGATATATCAGGTGAGGTTTCTATCTGTTGGACTCTTATTTTGTTTCCTGTAGTTCTGCTTTTCATTAATACAATCCCTTTGTTTGGCGCAGAGTATCTAAATGTGCCACCAGAACCAGAGGCCAGGGAAGTTAGGCGACCTATGACTCGATCTTCTCCAAATGTTATATTTAAAGGTAAAACAAACTATTGAGTCACAAATGGCGTCTTATAGTCTACACACTGATGTTAGCTACAAAATGAGAAAACAAAAACATCATTATAATGTTAAGATGGGAAATAGCAGGTAGGAAATCATTTTCAAGGCCGATTCCAAAGCTGCCATCTTCTATCATCTATCCATTTGCGTTCATCAAACCATGTGGTGTTCACGGCGACATGACTCTCAAGGACATCAACCAGAAAATCAGAACACCAACAGCAAAACCAAAGGAAGATAAATTAGAGCCTCCAGTGATCCAGACATCAGCATTTTCAGGGAAACCAGTTGTTGGGAAGACTAAAATCCGCACAGAAGGAGGAAAAGGAAGCATCACGATAATGAGGACAAGAGGCTAAGCTATAAGTTAAGTAGTATTTAATTTACTGCTGAAAAACTCTTTAAAACGTTTTTTTGCCTTATTCTCAGAGGCCTCTTAAATCCTTTTTTACCGGATAATAGTTACAAGTGAAGCGGCTAATGATCTTCAAGATCTTAGCATGAAACCATGTTCTTGTTTCGTTTTGGTATCTGTATAACGAAAGTGAAATCAATGAGTTGTGACTGTGAGCCAATGTGGTAGGTTATTTTTTTTTGGTTTGTATAAAGTCTATGGTTCTTAATGTAGCTGAATGTGAAATGCCAAAACTCTTGAGTTTATGTTTCTCAAAGTCTAAGTGGAGGATGATATGATAAAATCTTGTTCCTTTTAAATACTGTGCGATAAAACAAGATACATTTTGTGATATAGAAGAGAGCTTCAAGAATCTTCTTGGTTATGTTAAATTCGTTTTTGGTTCTGGAGCTTTTCCATTGAATTCTTCTTAATCCTAAGCTTGTGAGTAACGTAACCAAAACTTGGATAACCATTAAAACAACCCTAAATTTTATGGGCCTATATGTTTTGTAATCTGAAATTGTTTTGTAATCTGAAAATTTAATATATGAATATTACAGTATATGTTTAGTTTTTTTTTCTTGCAAATCGCTCTTCTTTTAATTAGGAAAAGGAAACACGTCGTATAGTAGTAATCGACTTGGGTCATTTATTCTCTGTCGTGTGAGACCTTCTTTTTGACACAAGTCACGTGAAAACTTATCGATGTTCTGAAATCAATTAAACCATCAATAAATATCAATCAGGTCGTATTCTTTTCAAATACGGATTTGAGTTTTTGTCATGTCGATCTCATTGAACAGAGGAGGTTGTTATGCATTCATTTGACTTTCCGTATTTGAGATTAGACAATCCTCTTAGCATTTAGGCCCAGTTGATTATCTGGGCTTCGCCCAATAACATTTTCTTAAAACTTTCCATTTTAACGTTTTTCAAGTAATGTCTGATCCTTGAATTTTATCGGGATAGTCCAAATGGTATCGCTCTCCACCTCCACGAGCCACGCTCACTCATTCCCCTCTGCATACAACCGCCGTCCAGTGGAGAGAAATGTTACAGTGCGATGTGTCTCCTTTTCCCCGCGCGAGCCTAAACACACATCTCCTTCTGATAAGCGTAACGAATCCTCCTTCGCGCTTAGTGAGACGAGGCAGAGAAGATGGATGAGGAATACTGAGGAGAGAGAATCTCCTTCGATTCAAGAGGAAATCAACTCAAAAATCGCTTCTAGGAAAGCTATATCAATAATACTTCGCAGAGAGGCTACAAAGGCGATAATCGAGAAGAAGAAAGGACCTAACAACTCCAAGAAGCTGCTTCCAAGGACGGTGCTCGAGGCTCTTCACGAGCGAATCACAGCTCTCCGATGGGAATCTGCTCTTCAGGTAGTGCTCTCCACTTATTTCTTCGTTGATAGCTCAATCCATTTATCACCAATTGGTTTTAGGTTAGAAGTTCATCGCTATGGTTCGGAAGATATCCTTAGTATATAAGACAGATAACTCAATCCACGTATTACCAATTGATTTTAGGTTAGAAGTTCATAGATAGCTCAATTCACTTATCACCAATTGGTTTTAGGTTAGAAGTTCATCGGTCCTGAAGATATCCTTAGTATATAAGACACATAACTCAATTCAGTTATCACCAATTGGTTTTAGGTTTGAAGTCCATCTAGTTTTAACATTTGGTGTTGCTGTTGAATTAGTTAGTGTAATCTGTGTAGGTATTTGAACTACTGCGAGAACAGCTATGGTACAAACCAAACGTTGGAATCTACGTTAAGCTCATTGTCATGCTTGGCAAATGCAAGCAGCCTGAAAAGGCTCATCAGCTCTTTCAAGAAATGGTCAGTGAAGGCTGTGTGGTGAATCATGAAGTGTATACTGCTCTTCTATCTGCTTATAGTAGAAGTGGACGATTTGACGATGCGTTTACTCTTCTGGAACTTATGAAAAGCAGTTATAACTGTCGGCCAGATGTGCATACCTACTCCATCCTCATTAAGTCTTTTCTTCAGGTTTTTGCCTTTGATAAGGTCCAGGCTCTGCTCTCTGATATGAGAAGAGAGGGGATTAGGCCTAATACAATCACGTATAATACCCTCATCGATGCGTACGGGAAAGCAAAAATGTAATTAGTACCCTTTATTGTTGTTTTGAGTTTTACGCTCTGCAAAAATGTACTTTAGTTGTTATGGTTTAGTTCAAAGCATTTATAAACTGACTTAGTTTTTGTTTTGTTTGTTGGAAGGTTTGTGGAGATGGAATCAACACTTATCGAAATGCTTGGAGAGGAAGACTGCAAGCCTGATTCTTGGACCATGAACTCAACCCTTAGAGCCTTTGGTGGGAACGGACAGATAGAGATGATGGAGAATTGTTACGAGAAGTTTCAGAGCTCTGGGATCGAACCCAACATCAGGACATTCAATATCCTCCTTGATTCTTATGGGAAAACAGGAAACTACAAGAAGATGAGTGCTGTGATGGAATTCATGCAGAAGTACCACTATTCATGGACAATAATCACCTACAATGTGGTCATTGACGCGTTTGGGAGGGCAGGAGACTTGAAACAGATGGAATACTTGTTTAGGCTGATGCAATCAGAGAGGATAAAGCCAAGCTGTGTTACACTGTGTTCTCTTGTTCGTGCCTATGGTAGAGCTGGTAAAGCGGATAAAATTGGAGGAGTCTTGCGTTTCATCGAGAACTCAGACATAAGGTTAGACCTTGTGTTCTTTAATTGTCTGGTAGATGCTTACGGGAGGATGGAAAAGTTTGCAGAGATGAAAGGTGTTCTCGAACTAATGGAGAAGAAGGGAGTTAAACCTGATAAGATTACATACAGGACAATGGTTAAGGCTTACAGAATTAGTGGCATGACTAGCCATGTAAAGGAACTTGATGGTGTGTTCGAGTCCATTGGTGAAGCCCAAGTTGTGTTGAAGAAGCCTGACTTTTAGCCGAGGAATATAGCTTATTTTTCGGGTATATATATTTACATATCTAGTATCCATCTCCCTGTTTTAATTGAAAGTGTAGCTAGTACGAGTGTAAATACATTTCTGTTCGCTTACATAACTTTGTAACACGAAAACAAAAAGCAAAAAAGTGATACAAGTATAGTTCTTTACTCTTGTTTGTGATATATGCTTGTTTATATATCTGTATGTCCTGAAGCAGCTAGATATGAGAGTTGAAGGCTGTACGCTTCTTTCAGTTGAGTCAAGACTTCTGCAATAGAAGGTCTGCTAGATGCATCTCTCCCTACACATCTTATAGCAACAGACGCAGCTTTTTTCATGCTCTTTGGATCAAATGTCCCCTTCAAGACATCATCCACAATCTCAAATGCTCCTGCTTGTAAGTTTGGTCTAGCCTGCATTTAAGTAGCTCGATATTTTATGACACTGTGTACTTAGATACTGAGAACTAAGAAAAGAAAGACAGTCATGTTTTTTCTCACCCATAAGACTAAGTTAAAAGAATCTGGTGATCCTGAGTGACTTAACGGTTCTCTTCCACAGATAAGCTCCAACAGCACCACACCAAAGCTATAGACATCACTTTTCTCTGTCAGCTGCAAGGTTGAGTAATATCTGGAATGAAAAAGTGTGATTAATGATTAGTTAATGAAGCTGTTAATCTTTCACAAATGCTGAGAGATGTTACAGAAGAGTTTACTCAGGGTCAAGGTAGCCTGCGGTGCCTTTAACAACAGTAGTAATATGAGATGCATCTGCTTTCGTAAACTGTTTTGACAGGCCGAAGTCTGAAACTTTTGCGTTCATATCTTTGTCCAGAAGTATGTTACTGCACTTTACATCCCGATGTATAATTCTTGGCTCACTTCCGTTGTGCAGGTAGTCCAGCCCTTCATGAACAAGACTAAATGTTACTGTCTGCCACAATCAAATGTGTGTTTAGTTAGTACCAATGACAGATGTTGAAGATGTACCTTTTGCAGCATCAACTGCAACCTTTAGTCTTGAAACCCAGTTCAGTGAAAGTCTTTTACGACTTGGACCTGCAGAAGCAAGATTGCACTAAAAACTATGAATTTGAGAGGAAGATGGCTTTGTAAAAGGATGGTGAGCAGTCGCTAGATACTTGAAGATTTGCATACCGTAAAGGTGATCAGCTAATGATCCACCAGGAAGATACTCATAAACCAGTATTTGCCGTTTTGGTTCGTAGCAGAAGCCCTCGAAGGAAACTAGATTTTGGTGGCGAATCTGAGACAAAAGGTGCACCTAGAAATATACAGTACAAAGGGAGACATTAGATAGCAGCACTCGGAACAGTAAAGATGAATGCATGCTTGAGCATTTACCTCGTTGATGAAAGAGTCAGCTCCAAGTTGAGTTTTATCAAATCGCACTTTGACGGCAACTTGTTTTCCATCTGGTAGTTTCCCATGGTATACAGATCCAAAACTTCCACGGCCAATCACTTCCTTGAAGTTCCTTGTAGCTGTCTTGATCTCTTTGTGAGAAAAGATTCTTGAAGTGTTCCAGTTCTGCATCTTCAGTTGTTCTCCTGATCCAAGATTATGATAACTATAAGAATCATAAAGCCACAACTATGTGGATCCGGAAAAAGGAAAGCATGTGTTTCCTTACTGGTTATATCTCTCTCTTTGTTTCTCTGTCTCCTAGTGCAGATCGACATGAAAACAAAGATGAGGAGAGTGGCAAACAAGGCTCCACCAGAAACTCCCAGCAAGATTGCTACACGGTTTTGCTTCTTGTGCTTCTTATTGATAGGTATAGTGACTTGTGGTATGTCAATTGTTGAAGACACATTGTTGCATGATGACGAAGTGAAGGAAAGGCATGGGTTACCCGTTATCCTGATAGAAAGCAAATCAGTAACGCTACAACACAAGAGTAGAATATTGTAGCAAATGGCGGCGAGACAGAAACTATATACCTGACTTCCAGGCCTGTTCTGTTAAGTGACTGTGGCAAGGGACCTACTAAGTTATTGTTTTCCAGATTCCTGAGCAGAAGTAATGAAAGATCCTTCTATGTATGAGGTGGAGAGTGAATCTGGTAAGTACAAGCTACTTCTTTGGTCTAAATGTTTACTTACAGGAGACGAAGTTTCTTTAGCTTTCCTAAAGTTTCAGGAACTGATCCTTGTAAGCTGTTGTTTTGCAGGTCCCTGCAAAGAATGAAGATTGACTTTAGAATATCCGCAAAGAACAAACAAAACTCCAGAAAATCTCAGTAGAAGATAACTTACAGAACTTCAAGGTTAATCAGATTTTCCAGTTCGG